AACAGTAAACCACCAACCTACAACATTTCGGTGGATGCTTCTTTTGGAGAAGGTGGTAGACATTCATCATCTGCTGCAAAGTTTTCTGTGAGTTCTTCCTGACAAATAGAAACTAGAAGAGTTTGCTTGTGTTATTATCGTATTGATGTCTCCAAATTTTGGAAATACTAGACGTAATATTGCAGGTGGGAGAGGGGGGGGGGGGGGGGGGGGCATGCATATTTCTCGGTTTTTTAGGTCATTAACATCCGAACCCTAGTGATGAGTGATGATTTGAGACACAACAGGAGGAATTTTGATTTTGTTACGAATGTCAAGATAACTGGGGAAATTAAGTAATTTAGTGACCTCAACAGCAATGACGTAATTGTGATGAATATAAATACCAACTTGGAACTTCGGAACCATCTCAACAAAGGCAAAGTCTGAATCCGAAATTCACCTAAACAATACTTTTAAAACCAGAGAGAACAAACTGCTTTTCCGTTACAAATATCGACTGGTTAAATGTGTTTTAGGAAATAATCGATTTGTTCTAAGAGTCATATGGAACCCATTAATACACTATGTGGATAAAATTCAGAGATATTGATTGTTAAAGTATGTGGTACATATAGTTACCAACGAGATTTGAAGAATTAAAAGAGAAAAACGTATTAGCAGAAAACAACCAAAGGAAAGTGAAAAAGATATGAGACACATTTAGAATACACGCTAATAAAGAATGACAACTTTACAATGAGTATTTGTCATATTTTTTAAGAATACCGAAATGTAATAAATTCTATTAATACACTGTGAGTACGTGGTGTTTTCTTCATCTAATTTTAGGAAATTGTGACAATTTTTAAAAAAAAATCAGTCCCGTCTTGAAAATGTTTAATTGCATTTCTGTCCATGATATTAATCCACTTTACAACAATTTGGTTGATAGCAGAATTTAATGTCTTTGTAACGGCGGGGGGAGGGGGGGTACACGAATATTTTGCGTACATGCTTCTTTTTTAACATTTATTTCCGGTTAATTTTTGTTTTAAATTCATTCACTTTGGCGAGTGTTGAAAGAACAGTTTCATTCGACGATTAACAATTCAGAACCATGAAATGTATATAATTTCGTGATATTTTATTCTATGAAGAAATAAAATACGAAACCGATATCAATTAATTGCACTCAAATAAAAACAAAAATGACAACATATCCACTCATCATCACCTCCTACGGTTACGCCTTGCGGTCCGTTTCAATTCAGAATTACATCTGAAATTATAAATCACTCCAGACATTTGGTAGGACATCTTGGACGTGTGACTAATCCGTCGCCTGGCCTCTGCCTACACAGGACAGCACAACAAAGAAAGACGATGACAAACACAGATGCCACAAACGGAATTCAAACCCGTGACTCCAATATGAAGGTAACCAAGACCCACGCCCTACACCGCACGGCCACTGAAATCAACCTACAAATCCAGTGTTCAATGTAAAAAATTACTTGAATTGTTTCCCTTTTTCTTGGTGAAAATTCGAAGATACGCAAAGCAATACTGCAGAAATAAATCACCTTTAAGCCACTTTTGAATCCTTAATTTTCTGCGTCTGTCAGGCCTAAAACAGTGTGGGCGATACTAGCGCCACTTGATATAAAAGAGTCCTGAAAACGTGCAATATTTGATCATTTACTTTTAGGATGTAAAAAAATATTGAGGACGCGTGAAATCTATTTTGTATCCTTTGGTTTTAACGCAATAATTAATGAATCACATGCCTAGAAATTGTGTATGAAACATACTTGTGCGTCAACAACAAAATGGCTACGATGCGAAATTATGACGTTAGACATGGCGTATTTAATGCAGTCGGAATCTGTGATAAAATTTCCTTGTACAAGAAAGGCGAAACATGTCATTAAAATCAGTGAAAATGGTGATGTCTATACAGGGCTGTGGAGTCGGAGTCGGTAAAAATGTACTGACTCCGACCTTGACATAAAATCTTAAGAACACTTTCGCGACGCGTTGAGCCACGTGTTGTGGGAAAATGCTTTGTAACTTTGGCTCCAGTACCTTAAGAATAAAAACTGTCTACAAATCAACAGATTTCTGCAATAACCATTAGACATATTTAAATACTGGGATAGTGGGAACGACCCGTTCTTCAAGTGCCTGAGCACTGCGGGTCCCAACTTTATCGTTGGCTCGATCTGTAGACATTCGGTAGGACTCCTTGGACGAGGGATCGGCCCGTCGCAAGGCCTCTGCCTGTACACAGGACAGCACAACACAGAAAAACGCGGACAAACATCCATGGCTTGAGCGGGATTCGAACCCACGGTCCCAGCGACCAAGCGGCACAAGGCCCACGCCTCAGACCGCGCGGCCACTGCTGACCCCGTATATATAAATATTGGTTATAAGTCTAAAAAGTAGCCTGATGATTCACGCGTGGTGGTGATGAAATGTTTTATAGGACCATTTACCATTTTAGTAGGTTTACCATTATTAATACATATTGAGCTTTTATGAAGGAGTCGGAGATTTTAGTACCGACTCCACAGCCCTGTGCCTATATAAGATTTACAAGCGAACTCGGCTGTCAACAGCATCAATAAATAATAAAACTACAGTAACACCTCTAATTAAATTAGTATATTAAAATACTTGCCAATATCAAAAGCCTCTAACAAGCGATCTATCTAAACCAACAGATCTTCTTAAGAAGTTAAACAATGCGCTCAGCTACTCAAAAAATTCGTTTCATTACCACGTAGGATTTGAGATTTTCACGGCGGTGAGTCCAAAGATGGCTGTCTTCTGGGTTGTTGCGCCGTGTAGTCTGGTTGATGTTTACCGACGTTTCAGAGCTCCTTGCTCCAACCCAGAAGACAACCACCTTTCATTAACACGTTAAAAACAGCCTGCCAACAGTCCACGACCTGAGCCAAATGCACACACTCCAACCCCACTTTAAGACCCATTTTAATAATCATCTCATCTACGACTTGGTCTTCCAAGCTGTCTCTTCCCTTCAGGCTTTTCAACAAAAGTTTTGTATGCACTACCCATCCCCCCGTAGAAATAAATCAAAAATTAAATAAAATGATTAAAATGACAATTACATAATTAACCAGGCATTTACATGAACGGAAAAGCTAACTAAAAGGCTATATTTTCTTAATATTGCTCAAAGCAAACATTGAAAAACCCTAATTAGTTAATAACTGTATGATTAAAACAATGATAAGAAATAAAGCACCAAGGTGCTGTTATCTGGAATAGTTTTCATATGTTTACGCGTTTCAGATTCGAATCACGGCAATGAAAAAACTTCACGCTGAAAAATCGACTACAGTATAAATTTTCAAAATGTCTGAAGAGATTTCAGGTAAGTCTCGCAGAAATTGACCGGCGTTTCAGAGGTTATAATGGTAGCAGGATGCACCTCTGAAACGTCGGTCAATTCATTGCAATGGGATTACAAGGCGTAAAATCCCAGAACACAGCTACTTTCTTGCAAAATGTAAGCTGTCCAATGAAGGCAAGTTTTAGCCTTAAATCGGACAATGTGTGAGAAATTACATAATTAATACGCTGATGAAAATATAGTAGATTCCGTTTAATTGGGCCATCGGTTAATCGGGAAAGCCGTTTATTTGACACATATCTTAAAAAACAAACATTTTTAACTCTTTACGTGGAACTTCGCTTAATTGGGTCAAAGTGTTCTCGTACCGATGTGTCCCAATTAAACGGAATCCACTGTATAGTCTACAGTCCAACATAACACTTGGTTCTTTTACACACTCAGTACGTAAAACAAAAATGTCTCCAAAACCAAGTACAATTAAAATAGACACTGTTCCAGTTACTTAGTAGTAAAAACGTTTTCCTTAATATTTTCGTTAATAGCAATAAATAACATAACACAATCCCATCAACAGCAATAAATTGTACCAACATTAAAGCAAGAATAAAAACAATAACAGTGCCCATGCGCTCAGGCACCTTGCAAAATGGTGGTAGGCAAAGAGGAAGTGGGAGAAGGCAAGTAACGAATGCTCCATGCACGTTGGTAACTGATGGGAGGTGCATGGTCAATTTCACGCTCAGGCTGGGGAAAAGCCCCGATGCCATCAGACGGGCTACAGGGGCGTTCTAGGAGAGGTAGCAGTTGCAGTGATTGAAACAATAACAACAGATAATCTATGATAATAATAGGACCAGTGCACAATTCATAACACCGATAATGTTATAAAACGAAAACAATCATAAAAGCAGTAATACTGATATTAATACTGCAGTATTGATCATTATTAATTAGAGGTCTATTATGTGCCTTTGAAACAGAAATAAGTGTATAGAGCAGCGTGTTAAAACCTCAAAACAGTGGTAAATGTTAAAACAAACGTTATCTCTGTTAAATGTTGGGCTATTAAATATCACATTAGCAATATGAAGTTTGATATCGCTTTTCGGTATTGACCCTTTAAAAAACCAGATTTTCACAAATGAGAAGATAATTTTACCGTTAACTCCTCCACTGGACATAAGTCCACTTCTTTTACTTACAGAATCTGCCACAGGTCAACAATCTTCTAGACCTGGCGGTATTTTGACCAGTCTGGAGGTAATTGCTGTCACACTAGTTCAAAACTATTGGAATTCCGTGAAAAACTTCAGAATAAATACCACTGTATTTTACGTTCCATTCACAAGAATCTGTTCTAACTTCAAACACAACGCACACAAACACCTCACTACGCCACCACACACTCTAACTGCATCGCTTACTAGACGAAACCTCGTCTACCTGTCCAGCATCCTTTGCCTACACAACTTTCAAAACTGCCCGCTAGATGTCCCAGCTATAGCATGTCATTGCCGGGAAACTTGAAGGAACTCAATAGGAAATTAAATTAACACGTGCTTAACATGTGGGGAATTAAATTACATGGGTGTTCAAACCGTAGAATAAATAGTAGTATTAATACGAACAAAACTGATTAAACCACCGACATTTTATTCAAGGATTGCATATAGAATACAGAATATGCAGAATGTGACAATAATGGTCAACACAAATTCAAATTAATGAAACCCAATAAAACAAAATGTAGAGCACACACTTTCTGGACCACGTATTTGAACGAAACCTTGTTGTAAAGTTCAAATAAGTTAAACTTTGATGTATTTTCTATTGAAAATGTTCTAGAAAGCAAAAATGCTACATTGGCATTGCTTCAAGACATTCCATTAGGAAAATCTCAAGAATCTTAGATGGAACTGAAATTGGAACACATCAGGTACTAGTCTATGTCAACAATTACTTTCCTACGCGAAAGTACAGTCTATAAAGTATACGGAAACAGAACTTAATAAGAGAGTTAGCCTAGATATAACAACATATGTAGTACATATTCATGTCTCATAAGAAAAATTAAAATACAATTTGAGGAAAAACCAATCGCAAACAGTGGTACATAAAATATCAACATTCCTTTAGTAACAGGTAAGTGTAATTCCAGAGACTGTCACTGCTTGTCCTAAACATAGCTTTAAATAATATAGATCTGAGGTTCTGTCTGTGGCTCACCAATGTGTTTTGTGCAGCCTGTATACAGTTCTGTAATACTGATTTCCTGCATGATTACAAAACAAAACTGTTGCCTATTTATTTTTTAAGGAAACAATTAATAAAAGAAGCAAGTCAAGAAAGTCAGCAACTTCTGTGTTGTCTCAGGGTGCACAATAATAAGACTTATAAAGTAAAAATAAAAAGCCACTGGGCCTAAGCACCATGCTGTAAATATGTATAGGGGAAGTGGAGGTATATCCCCATCTTGACATTGCTACTTTAACAATGGGTAAAGAGCAACTGATACAATGGACAAGAAACTGGGTGATCTGCACAGCTGATCTGGATGGATGTGGTGATGAGACAGATAAATTCTCCAGTCAGGAATCAAAATTCCAGCCATTCTAAACACAGCCAGTCATTTTACTGACTGATATTTAGTATATTATAAACCAAGAAGTTAAGCATTGATGTCAGATCTGATTTTGTTAGCACGTTATGACCAGTAAAGGCTTCAGAAGCATCCAAAGTTCCATTTAAAGGGCCCTTAAGAAATTTTAAGTTACTAAGGAACGTTGAGGAAAATGTGAGAAGTAACAGCCCCCTTTAAACCTCAAGAAATAAGAACAAAAAGCTTACACAAATTAAACTTCAAAAGAAATTTATTCAAGATATATTTAGCCCAGTCACAGTAAGCAATGAGTCATCACACACAGGATACTTTTGTTAAATTCTGGAGCCTGTTGGTAAAACAATTTGTACAGAGCCTGTTGCATTTTAGCATCTAACTTGAATCAGCAGTAGCTACAGTGCTGATGAGGTATAAATGTTATTCTAACAGGCGAATGAATCTTAACTCTGGTTCACAGTGACAGCACGTACAAGTTCTATAACTGGCCACTTTGTCAAGTGGGTTTCTATTAATCTTGATCGCCAATAATTGCTGCATCTGTTCAATCAATGATCTAAAAATTCAGGAAAAAGAGCAATACTCTTGCTTCATCTGTTAGTCAACATGATCAAATTAAGAACGATGATATGGGCAGTGCATGTAGCACACACATGTGGAGAATAAAAATACAAAAGTACACATAATTTTGATTCGAAATCCTAAAGAGAGAAATGATCACTTGTGTGACCTACACAAAGATAGTGGAATAACATTAAAATGGATTTTAAAGAAATAGATTGGAAGGATGTGTACTGTAAGTCATCCAGATCAGGATAGGGACCAGTGGCAAACTCTTGAGAATGCAGTAATGAGGCTTTTGGTTCCATAAAAGACAGGGAATTTTTTTGAGTAGCTAAGCATAATATTAGCTCCTCACAAAGGACTCCACTCCATGGAGTTTATCATTATTTATCTGAGGAAAAACTGGACTCTCATGTCTACATGTGATATCTGGTATATACATGAACTAAGTAAAGCACAAACCTGAATATCCTATGACTAAGTACTGCTTAGAAATATTCAGCAAATATATGAAACTGTTACACAAATTATAACGCACATACGCCGACTATAAAAAACATAACTGTCCAATATTCATGAGTTAATTAGCTACTGGCTATCAGTTTGGATATATTTCACTACCTGTGATGTAATATTAACAAACTACAAAATATTTAGTTTTACAATTTTTTAAACCCATCTTATTATATACCAATGTTGGCACTTATGGGAGAGAAGATACAGCTTCTACTCATCAACCTTGGCACTAGAAGGGGTTGAGTGGTCAGCAGCATGCCTCAGCCATGCTTTACCCCTGGGAAAGGACCCCAGTACCCACTGAACAGGACAATGGGTGGGCCCCAGAGCCAGTCTGGAAACAGAGGCAAAAATAAAATCCTCTGCCTCTGTCAGGGATCAAACCCCCATCGCCCAGCCCATAGCAAGTCACTATACTGACTGAGCTATCCGGCTCACACAACTTATTATTAAATAATATTATAATAGTCTTTGTACATTTGGTAAGTATCTACTATTATACTCAACTGCAGAAGTTACGTAGCTTCAAATGAGAAACGACAGAAAAATGAATGGCGAGTCAGAACGGGTGTAGATAGACGGGAATGTGATCTAGTGTTAAGACATCTGGCAAATCAATCACTCCACAAAAATGTAGAGACTGAGAAAAATCACAAAAAAACTTGGCTATGACTCAAATCAAGTAGTACTTCCCAAATGTGAAGCAGCAGTGTTAACTAAACTGCTTAATAAATGACGATACTGGATGTATCAAAACACAAACCTCATACGGGACATAAGTCATGATCTGTAACACATATAATAATAAAAATGGGATAACAAAATTCCTGCAAGTTTACAGCAACACTGGCAACCTTTGGCGACTGTTTACCCTTCATAGAAATTTTGTTTATACATTCAAAGTTACTAATTACATAATAAATACAATTATAATCAAACCACACTCATCCCTAAAGCAAATTTATTGGTCCTGAAAAGTAGATGTTAAATAATCTTACTCTCCTATGTACATTAAACATTTCATTACTGGGAACAACTTTATATTTTCATTATTTGTTCATATTACGCACAACACATCCATACAGCTTCCTACATAATTTTCAACAGTATATTCAATGCAAATAGTAAAAAATAATTCATAATCAACTGTAACAAAAAGTTAAATTACTGGTGGCACACTTCATAAATGAGATATGTATCATACCTGTCACATTTAAATAAAAGACTAGTTATCTACTGTATTCTTGTTATCTACCACATCAAAGCACAGCCAGAACACGTGTTACTGGAAATCGCTATCACATGATACACAATTAAAATAGTCATTAAAACGGTGAAAATTCTCACAAGGAAACAAGCTGCGTGGAAAAATATTCATTGTCTTTAACACCAGTAACCAAATTCAAACACTGTCTTACTTCAAGAATCCACTAAATTAATCCCATTCATTTTACTATTTACAGTATAGCATCTGTCTTTAAAGTTTCTTACAAACAGCTACCTATTATAAAAGGAAGCTTCTTTTGCAATATTAATGTATACTCTCACGAACAGTGACAAAATATTCACTAAATGTTCGTCCACATTAAATGATCAAAATAATCAACAACACACATATTTCTAAAAATGTTTTACATAACCATCTGAAAGCACCAGGCACCACACAGTGTAATGAATCCACTATCATATTATCTCTTTTACACAATATTATTGAACTATAAGTTTAGAGGAACCTGTAGCAGAAGCCAAGAATATGGACACTACAGCCAGTAGCAGATTTCTGTATTCAGTGGCATAATTATAACAATAATTCTGAAGGTTTCAGACTTTTACAGTGGGACAGTGTTAATGTGGACCCTATTCCTGTGTGCAGGCTGTAACAGAAATATCCCAGAGATCCTGTTTCCACCTTCAAGGTGAAATAGCTACCCACCAGAATCTACCAATACTTACAGTACATGACCATAAGTCTACAGAACATTCGCTTCAAAAACATGACAGTGTTAGCAAAACGTCCTCACTAACCAAGGAATTTATCAGTTCATCACAGCTTGGAAGACAATCTGTACTGTGAAGAAACATAGAAGATTCCTCGACTTTACTCACCCCACAGGATCTAATTCAGTGCATTATGTATCTATCCTACATCTCTAGATTTGATCTGGACCATTCCAGTTCTATCTGTGAGAAGCTTCAACCCATTCCCATTATCTTCAGTTTCATCTTCAACTCTATTTCTCATCATCTTTTCTCACCTTTCCTACTACCATTTTTACCTAACCTGTACTTCCCACGAATGCTTCCCAAAATTACAAATAACCCACTCATTCTGTCTCTCAGAAAGATCAGCCCTTAAAAGATGTCTCACTTCCCATTAATATAGCTGGATCACAGCAGTTCCTCCCAGTCTGTGAATATAACTATAAATACTGGCAGGGACCACTGCATAGTCACTTTGCTTTGAAGATTAATGTAGTAATGATCTCTAAAACATTGTCAACACATTGGTATCACCCAGAGAAAGAATCCACATTAACAATATTCCTGTAATTCTTCAGTAACAAAGCAACAGTGGCTGTTTCTATCAACAAAGAGTTAAAATTTTTGTACATAATAAGCAGCAAGTATACCAGATAAAATTACATCCATATATTCAAGTTAGTTTTGAATCAGTCCACATAATATCATCTCATAATATCTCTCGAGTTATGTGCTATAGATAAATTGAATTAAAGCTTAATTTTAATGTTTGGTTGATAAATGTAGTTATTTGTTTGTTAAATTCAGTTACAGTACTATAGACTATAAGCATTCAATAAAATATTTAGTAGAATAACCATTATACTTATCAATCACAACTCTTACACATTTAAATTAGCAGCATACACCAGTGATCTTGCTAAATATACAAAAAAGGGAGTTTAAATTAACTGTGAAAGAAACATCTACAGTCGTAAGATCAGTCCTCGCTTCCTTATCTAATGGTATGACAATGTGAATGGTGGGCAAATGGATACAAACGTTATGGCCATTTTACAAAATTATCATTTATCCAGTCCGAAGAGACTTATAAAATCTGAGCTAGTCTTCAGTGGTAAATAACATTCAACATATGTGTAAATTATTTGTGTGAATATAAACATTGAATCCTATTTAAATGCGATTTTTCTTCCCAAATACAATCAATACTTTAAATGGAACTAACAATAATTTATCATAAAGTAAAACGTGCATCACTAGAGCAGAACTGTTAGAAAAATGACAGAATTTGGATGCTGTTTCGCAGTTCATTTAATCACACAGTTTCACATGCAGAAGTCATGTAGTGTAGAACTGGAAATAGTGAATTATTAATTAGAAATAGTTTAAAAGACAGCAATCATAACCTTTTGAATGGGCCCTCCCACAATTTGCCTGCAGGAACTGTGGATATAACAAAAAAATTCTGTCAGGTTAGCCAATCTCTTAACCACGAGTTTAACTCGAAAAACCAATGCAAGTACTTTACCACTGAACCAAAGATGTAAGGCAACAGGCTTTGGGAAACAGAATCAATACCAATGTTGGTCTTCGAGGTAGTAACACTGTGGGAAACATGGAGACAGTATGTTCTTACAAAACACTGACATCTACCTACACATTCACATGGCAAACTACCCAGAAAACTGATACCATCTGGGATATTGTGCCATTAATCTCGTAGAAATTAACCAATATTACTTACTAACATCAAGGTGATGAGTAAGCCACAAATACAGGTGCAGGGCTGACAAAGCACCTGTCTCTTAAACATCCCAGAAAACTATCATCTTCAACATAGACAATTCTTCACAAAAAGTGACAGTCTGTAACTCTAGGACAAACTTATGTCAACTACTTTCCTTCAAATGCTTCAGCCTGCACACTACACTATCAGAAACAATAAATTTCAAATATAATTTCGTTGTGTGACTTTGGGTTCTTATGACAGCATATAAGAAGATGGTTGTCTTATGGGTTGTTGCACTGTGTAGTCTGGTAGAAATTTACCACAGCGTATGACGCAGAACCCTTCTGTGCATAATTACCACTGATACAGGTTCCTACCACCAGACAACTTAAAACTTTCACACCATCCCCATGTCTGTGACTTAGAAGTTCATAGAACCAACATGTTCGGGTCAATAATAGTAGGAAATTAGAATGTGCAAAGGTAGGGTGCTCTCTGGTGGCATAATGTTCATACCAAGTTTCATCAATGAAATGATTCAAAAGTTATTAGTAGGAAATGGTGATGATGATACCATGTGCTTGCCTTTCTTTGTAAATTAAGCAAAGTACGACAGAAATGGGTCATCAAGCTAAGAGACCCATGGGCCCATATTTACGGGTGTTATAATGTCCCCAGCTCTAGAAAATAGTAATGTGGATGCCTAACTAGTACAAATTTCAACCCACATTTTTTCACAAATATAACATCATCATTACATCACATGTCATATTAAACATTGACCATTCTGAATGTAGGTGAAATACTAATCTCACCCCTGAAATGCAGATTAAACATTTCATATCACATGCTAAATTGGTAACCACTTTCATATGACCAAAAGTATAATGAATGAATAACAATATTTTTGAAAAAAATATTTTTATAAAACTGCTCTACATAAAACCCCAATTTTAGATTCTTGTATGAGTATCTGAAATATGGGAGTAGAATAACAAGCAACAGTTAATTAAGTTTCCAATAATAAAATCCATGATAAATCTACAATTGCGCATTTGCTCATAATGACAATTCGTAACCTCCTTTCAAAGGCTGAAGCTGATATATGAACAGGAATTCTATATATCTAAGAAAGTAATTTTTCACAAAATTAATAAATAAGCTTCGAAAGTGTATTCCATAATAACTGAATATGTTCTTTGAAACGTGCATTTACATCTGCCTTGTCCCATGAAATAAATTCATAAATTTTAAAAATTATTAAAAATTTCTAAATCGTTAAATTTTTAAAATTTATAAATACTCAAAATTTTAAAATTTTATAATTCCCACATCTGAAATTTTCAACATTTAAAATTCATATTTAAACATATTCTTATGTCAACTTCCTTATATGAAGCTAAACAAATCTAACACAACTGAAACTAACATGTTCTACCCTGTCCCAACAAAAACAATGTAACATATATAAACACTTTGACTGATTTCCACCTACATCAATATGAACAAAGATTGTCATATTAACCATGGTAAACATTCAAAGAACACACAAAAATGGTTGCCAATGGAAACTATGGTAACTATTGTAAACAAATTCCCACCATGACCACCAGATCGCAATACTTCAATGTCCACCACAAGAATTTCCTCATTCGTCATTTTGTTATCACCACTCATAGGATATTCAAAGTACTATTTTGAGGTCATGCAAAATAGGGCAACCTACATACCAAGTTTCATCTCAATCTGTCCAATGGTTCCCAAGTTAAATCAACTGGACAGACAAACATGACCAACAATGGATTCTTGTTATGCACTTCATACAAAGAATGAATGAAACAATAAAAATTTCTGGGAAATGTACTTACAAGCAGTCAAATCATTTTCCTTAACAGATAAACTAAAGCCCTACTGAGGAAATATAAAAATAAATTCAATAACAGAAACTAATGGTATACCTTAGAAAAGCACCTATGAAACATAATGGCCGACACACTTTTACATATGGTAAGTAAATCTCATTTAAAAACAAGAAATAATAATGTAAAGAATTCATTCCCTCAATGATGAGAATATTTTGGCACACTCCGCATACAAGTTAATATTCTGAGATTGTAAAAGCTCATGAGATTCACATCTACACTGAATTTTGGAATGACTCTATAACAATGTCTATCTCTATTACTGCATCAGTTGTTACTAAGAAAACATATGGCATTATTTGTTCTCTACCCATGGAGCCCATGTTCTATACTTACTGTTTACCTTAAAACACATTAATGTGTGCTTGAACTTTTAATGTAAGCAAAACCTTAATTGTAATTATATCATAGTATCTACAAACTAAAATTTGAGAGTTTTAATAGTTTTCTCTGTGAAATAATTTTTCTGTTTGAAATTCATAATTTTTAACATGAACCTAGATGTAACAAACTTTACAACATTTTTACAATATATGTACTTTGACTATGCCATATTTAATTCTAAGTACAGATTATACACACCAAATAAAAAATATGTTTACAAAACAATTTATATAACAAGTTTACAATTATATATTCAGCAAAATAACCAAATGCATATGTTCTCCCTCCAAACAAAGTGGCTTAAATTGTAGACAAATTAAATCACTTTCTTTCAAACACATCAGTTCTTCATTCTAACACTCTCCACTTTTAAACAACAACAAAATATCACTTACAGAAAGATGTAAATGGCATGATGGTACTAGCAGAACAAGAAGGGGACCAATACAGTATAAACCTGCTAAATAAGATAAATACATATTGTGACACTAAAGTTCTTCTTTAAAAGACAAATTTTCAAAGACATTTATGAATATTTCATTACAAAAGATAACAGGAAATCTGAAAAACAACAAATATTTGTATGCTAGAAATCTTACAACAATAATGGTGTTAATATTAACTAGTAGTCCCATAGTCAGTTGTTTTTCAATAAAGTACAAACACTGGATTATCAGGGTTATACTGTACTTGTCTCTGAATGCGAAACATAACCTGAAATACTGTTTTGACCAATGAGCACAGATTTTAGTGAAATTTTCCAAGATGTTACATCATACATGATATATGTAACATAAAGAACAAACAAAATAAATGATTGCTGACTGATACTTATTTACATAACAAATTATTTTTTCTATAACTTCGTACAACAGTAAACAAATGAATATGTACAGATCAGACTCAAGTTCATTTTAAAAGTTAATAAAATCTTTCTTAAATAACTCTTTCAGTAATTATTTTACATATTTTCAGAGCTACATAAGTTTAGTAGACTGAAGATCATGAAGTGGATGTCCTTATAAATTATACTAAAATTTTAGATCAGATTTCTCATGCTACTGTAACAATGAACTGCTGAAATTTAATTATGTAACAACAATAATGATGAAATATTTTTTTCAATCTACCCCATATTTTTACACCCACAATGACCAATGATCACTTAATTCTCCCTTTTATTCCAGTGATCTGTGGTACACAGGTTGGAACTGTTGGTACAGAATAAACTAGACAAATCTACAACTTCAGAATGAATAATACATTCTTACAGAACAGACATGACAAAGCTCAATTAAAGTTTGTGGACTATAAATCAATACAGCAAATACATTCAGAATGAAACATTGCACAGGACAATGACAGAAGAGAAGGGGGAGTACAGACCAAAAGCAAGAAGTGCCATATGTATCAACACTCAGATATAAAATAACCCCCATTTATGAAGAAAGATTTTAAGGAAAAATAATTCTACATACATAAAACTCTTGTTTCTTTATAGTGGTCCAGTTTAGGTCCAAAAAATAATTTTCTGGTAATACTTGAACCTGATATTGTTCTTTGCCTTCCACATTAGCCCCACAAATACTGTAAATACTATTGTTAGTGTTATCACTTGGGGGGGGGGGGGATTACTTAGTACAAATTCTACAAAATGACAAAATTACAATCTTTGAAGTACATCTGATACATTAGCAGAATTATAATTGACAATAAAAATTAAAAATAAGGAATTCTGTGGTATTCATAATTCACATACTAAATTGTTTAAACATGAACCTCTGTCATTAAAGTTATGAGTTTAGAAACAAATGCAATTTAACCTATTTTTAAAAATCATGTAGGAGTAACTGTGAAGATCATGATGACATTTTCAAAGCACTTTTCAAAATATGTTTCAAAATTATTAAACAATGGTATAAGAAAATACAGTAAACCTTCACCAATTTGGACCCTCTATAATTTGCAATGCCTCCTTTATGTATGCATTTTATTTAAGTAGGAAAGAAACTCTTCCTAAATGAGAATTTAATGATAAAACTACCCAATTCCTATCAACTTTGTAAGTATTAAAATAAACACACCGTAACTGATTTGTACTGAAAAAAGTTTTTAAAAACAGCACTTCAAACAAAACTTATAATTTTCTTTCCCTTTGTTATATTTGTGTCCTAATATCATTGAAGTCAACAGGTGTTGTTGGCGTGTAAATAAATTTGTCATTATTAACTATGACTTGAAAAGATTTTCATATAATCATATTCTATAATTCAGGCTTTTCACTAATTCAGATTAACCTTTTCCCATTCATCCAAATAAGTGAAATTTTACTGTTCCAAAAACAATATTACTTGAAAATAATCATTCTATAAAAAAGGAAAGTCATGTATGGAAAGTGTTTTCAACTTAAACAAATTATAAAAAAAGGTGGGAATTTGATAAAGAAACACATTTAATGCTCATGAATTTTATATAGTCTTATATGACAGGGTTAACTAGCAAATATTATGAACCATTCTTCTATTTAATTTACTATATATGCAGATTTAAACAAAACTCAGCTCATCAAAGGAAGACTTAATAAAACTGACATTACAAGAGACAAGGATGCTGTTTTTATTTTCTCTTATTTTATCCATATTTTTGGACAATCCTATTAGTGTAAATTAAAATGGGTAAATACATATGACCCAAGACAGAATGTCTATAATATTATTTTCTGATGACCAGTAAGCAGTTCATGAACTATAAGACATTAATAAATGTCTAACTTACAAATCCAGTGTGATCCTTGACATTCCTGAGCTATAAATTAACGTAACAAACAGAAGAAGGTATTAACTGAAAGAATACATGATTTAATTATATGCATATGACAATCAAAAAGGGGAAAGCAAAAACGGAATCACAACTGAAATTATATACATGACAAAACAAACAGCCAGAAATGGAAGTGAGATATGAGACAAGGATACAGACAGCACAGATAAAATTTCTTTGTGGAGTGAGTGGCCAGATATACATGTTTACACCATCAAAACACAAACTACATAAACGAAATATTTTTAACGTGAATAAAAAATTATAGAAACAACTGATTGCAGTATCTACAAAGAATGGAAGGCAATCAAGTGCTGAAAAAAGCTCGTCAATCTGAACCATTATAAAACAGAAAACTTGAAAGACCAATACAGAGATGGTCAGACTAGATGTGTCAACCTGAATTGGCCAAGAATCCAAACAATGTATTTGATAATGTGGAGCTCAAATCTGACAAGTTTGTATGTCTGTATGTTATTACTTACTGCAGAAAATTTCATATTAGCAAACTGCTTCAAAAATTAAGAGGAGGACATGCATGCATGCATGCATGTGCGCACGCGCGCACACACACACACAGACAACATGGTGTTTTCAAAAGCCCACTTCTTTGCCACTTCAAAATTTTCTTCAAAGTAAATTCAAAGTTTCAAAAATACAAAACAAGACGAATTGCTTGCAAGCGTGGTAGTGATAGCAACAAAAATCAAACAATTACAATTTTTAAAAATATTTTTTATAATAATGGCAATCTATTGGTACACAAATTTCAAGACACACCAAAGTTGCCAAATGTCAATTTTTCCTGAAATTGTTGGATTACATGGTTTTATATATTTTTCAGTAAAATGATTATGGTGCCGCAAGCTTTGTATCATTCGAGCGTGTAATGGACAACACTGACTTCCACGTTTCAACATCATTTGACGAAGCCCTTCAAATGTTTCAGCAAACACAGAAGTTCCCATCCTCAGGGTCATCTTCATGGATAGGTATATGTCTGCTGAAATACTGCTGGCTTCAACAAGTGACACCACTCAAGGCCAAAAGCTGATTTATGTATTTGTGCTTTATACTATCAGTTGCTCAAACTATACAGTATCAAATGATATAATGGTTAATGAATAGTGAATTGGAAAGCATATGGAAGGAAATGTTCATGGCCAAATTGAAGGTATGGAATTTTGGCGAGTTCACTTACTTAAAATACAATTATATGCCCTAGGATCCACCGTGTCCATTTACCAACATGTACCAAGTTATGGCACACACATAGAACTATCAAAGAGTCCAGCCCATTGTTAAATATACACTAGAAAAAAATAACAATTGTTATTTGGATTATTTACACCTCAAACTACACATGCATAATAAAACAAAAATAGGAATATACCACAAATATATGTATATATATATACACACACACACACACACACACACACAGCCATGACCTGCACATCTGATCACCCCACAGAATATACACCACAGCAAGCAAATACACGATACAAAGGTTCAACAGTCTACCAATTACTCAACACGATATGCTTGAAGAATACAACAGAGTAAAAATCTGGCTAATAATAAATTTCATGATTTATCCAAACTAAAGCTTCATACACTCCAACCATCACCCACAAACAACCAACCACATAAATGGCAATAATTCACCTACTTTAACCTCCACATACGCAACGTGACTAAAATGTCTAAACACACTAACTTAAATATATTCTATACAGTGAAAAATCGAAGTATTAAAATCCGTGGACAAAGACGTCACCATGGACATCTACAAAAAAGTTAGCAGACACAGCAGAACATTCAAATGTCTAAACAAACACCATATTATTACCCCAAATGTACCGATCGACCTAATATTAAAGCACAATAAAATCAAAAATCTCCATAAAAATATTAAGTAATCAGGTTGGCTATATTAAATGGGCTTCAGACCAATATTCTAGAGATATGTCTATCACTATGTATAATGAATAGCACAACACAGCACATGAACAACCAAGACATGGTGACCATGATGCCACACAAGCATCCATCCATAATTAATACTATGAGCTTGCTTTTCCAAAAGTGAACAGCACTTCAATAACAGTGTTATTGGGCTTATGTATCCACTGACTGACAGTGCAGTAATCCACAATAAAATTTAAAAAAGAGTCTACTTCACATGGAGTCCCAATTATAATGACTTCTACCGAATGACATACGTTAGCCAATGATGTTTGTATCAGCCTATATAGTTCTCCACAACCACACAACTTCAAACACCATTGGTACTCCCCAACACAGTAAGCAGGCATCCTAGTCAGTGTTAAATCAACATCATAACATAACATGCAAGAAAACAGACATAGTAGATCCTAGTGAACATTATCGCATTCTAAGTAAACTCAGCCAGAAACACCCATCTTCCATATTTAGTGTGATGCAATGGTTTTAAACTTACACTTTACAGAAATGACCTGTGTGCTAAAAACAGAGTGAACAGACAGTATTTTAGATATCAGCCACTAAGTTTGTAACTTTAATTTTGTACTGTAATATGTTACTTCAGCTTTTCATGTAAACCACTAACATTATAAAGTTTGCTGAACCAACGTAACATATACTGGCACCAATGATGACCCGTCTGGCTGAAATTCATCTGGTTGTTAATTTTAATTTTTATGCTCAATTTTAATAACAAATCAATATCAATGTGCTAATGATCATTGGTGCTTACTTTTATCAGTCACAATCGCCAGTTCCTGGGCAAAGATTTGAACCTGAGACCTGAATATAAAGGAGAAGTACTAACCACATAGTCACAATGATTGGTCCCTAAAGCTGATCTTACACTAAAACTTAAGGACAAAAATGGTCAAGTGTGATACAACTAAATTCAAGCCGTGGCAAAATCCTCTCGAGAGACGAGCCGCGTCAACTCAGAACAAAAGTCAACATTTCAGAGGCTGTCTGCATCATTAGGGAATGATGTATGAGTTTGGACAGTTGGTTGCCTGAGAGGTTTCCATCACTGTTAGTTGCCATAAAAGCTTCACATCATATATAAATTCAAGTCCTCAACATAGAAACATCTAATTTTAATGACACGTGATACTGAACTTGAAAGCTCAAAGTGGCTGCATATACTATACATTATTAAACCTTATGACATAAGAAAACTCAAAACCTTACTATAAGCCCTCTGTGTTTCAATACTATCCGTAATATTCAATTACTTTAATTTTCTTACATCATGACAGCACAATAAATAAAGTGACTACTACGGACTGAAAGATCATAAATCAAATACTAGCAGAGGCATTACAAATTTTTATCTTTATAGCCATGTCCAAAGAATGAGTGCACCGGCACAGATTCCCATTCAATAAGTAAACGGATTACTCCTTTCCCAGAGATAAAAATGATAAAGATTATAGCTAATGAATCATGTATGCATAGCACAGAACAAAAATATTTAAAGCCTTATGTAAATTTTTAGCATGATATTTAGAATAATGAACTTATGCACGTTAAGTGGTGCAATGAGGTAGAATAATACATCTTCAACCAAAACAGAATTTTTAAAAAAATTATAAACTTTCCTTCCTTATTAAAATTAGAATGCTGAATAAACATCAAATCACCCAATATACTTAAAAAATTAAACAGAACTAAACAAAACAGACTGCCTACAGAAATCATCTAAAAGTGAAGTACATTAACTTCTGTTTCAGTTGTACGAAGTTTATGTATATGTTTTAAAAACTTAAATAAAAAATAAACATTCTCTCAGGTTACTTACAAAATTCAAACAAAACTGAACAAAACAAACAACCAACAAAGTTCATCTACAGGTAAAGTACATAAACTTCAGTTTTAAAAACATAAAATAAAAACAATCTATTTCTCTTCACATACAGAATAGTATACATAATTATTTCTAGTATTATGTCCAAGCACATGCTGAACCAGAGAGTTACAGCGACTCACCAGTAATGCAAACCTGCCACCAGAATCCAGCTGTGAAAATGCATGCACAGCGCAATTCCATGAATCATTAGTCATTCGTTTTAATGTCTAGTCTGCGTGTTTGTGTTTAATGGTAGCGAGATATCCTACAGAAGAATCTACATTCCTTGTTCAACATTTCACTTGAAGAAACCCTACTGATAACAGTCATGTTGACAAATTCATGGCAAGAAAGCTGGAATATGTGTTATGACCACTATAACTGTAGATTCCATGTTCTTCCATGACAGTTAATTCAAAGGAGGATACGAACATAATTTTGGAACTGTTCTTTGCAGAACCAAAGTTATGCATATTTTCAACAAGACACATTGCAATAGCAGACACAATATTTACTGCAAGCTCAATAAAATGTATTCATTGAATGAATAATAATCAGAAAGGACAACGGGCATCATGGTCCATGGATCTGAAAGTTTTAGACTTCCTAACTAGGAACATTTTTAACAAAAGATTAAAGAAAACAATGGAGATGGCTGTATTCTGGGATGTTGAGCCATGTAATCTGGTAGACATTGACCAATGTTTCAGAAGAGTTTACTGTCTCCATTAATAGATAATGATCCACTATTCTGGAGGCTTTACAGACCAAATCTATATAGAATGTTATTCTATAATCACACAAACAAACTTTCAATGTATGTCAGAAAAAGCATCACTGTGAAATGTGCATGTTAGACATCACTTTCAGTAGCTCGTGGTAAATAAAGTGGTTTTATTGAAAGTGGCCAGAACCTCTATTAGCTCATTCACAAACCTGTGTTAATGTTACTGATAATTCCCTGCATGAAAATCACTGTCAGTAAACACAAAGTCATTTAGTGTCAGATGTACCACTCAGTAGGCAAGTAAAAAATATTGATGTTGTCACAAAATGAAGTAATACTGCTTTTGGCCATGGTAGCTGGTGAGCTGATAGAATATGTATTGTGTTAGTCAGACATGACACACACACACACAAAAACTGCAATGTATGAAAGCTGAAGTCATATTTATTTTGTTCACTTAATTGTTTCATAGAAATCTGGTCAAATACTTTACATCACAAATGTTCAGTTTCTTGTATTATTTTCTAATGTTAATGATCTGTTGTTACATCAGGAGACTGTCCATAACCTTTGAGAAGCAGTGCAGCAGACATACTTCAACACTGTTCTACACACATCAATATTATTTCTTCAAATTTTTGGCACCACCAATTGCTCATACCTGTAAAAATACTAATATTTAAGAATTTAAACCATACACAAATGTGGAAAAAAGTGGGTCTGTATTTTGATCTTAAATGACAAGCTATGCAATGACAACCAAACTGACTAAAAGGTCAAGTCACTGTGACAGTGCAACAATCTTACAAAATTATGCCATAATACAGATTTCAAATTTCTACTCAATTTAAAGATGACCCTTTATAGTGAATAAATTAGTACAGCAGTATTATAGATGTGTACAAACAATAATTAAGGATAACTTGAATGCATTTAACAGTAAGCGCTAATTCATAACATAACCTCAAAATTCAAACTTTATTACTTGACAAAACTCTTTACAAACAATTCCATTTATTGCTCTTCAAAGAGTAATATATCCAACATGAAATTGCATTACCAAATATATTTGTAATATTAGCAACAGTCCCAGGGAAACCAAAATGAATAAGAAACAGCTAAAAATACTCATATAAATGCACCATATCAGTCATAATTGCATCCTAATAGTAAGACATCAAAATCAATAAATCTACATTTAAATTTGGTTATTTGTTTTACTCAGAGACCTAAACTGCTGCTTCCTTTCTTAAGAAATGTTGACATTACGTATTTCCTGTAGTAAATGTGCCTGCTTTTACTCACGCCCCTAGTACAAAATCTGTCTTAACAGACAAATCAGCATTACAAACTGTGTGGACCAAATGTTTGCACACAATAAAGTTATTTTAATATTAAAGAAGATGGAACATTCTGTTCTTCATACACAATCCCCCCCTGTATGTTTCGGTGCATGGACATGATTTAATCGTTATCTTCTCTTGCTGTACATTATGATACTTGATACTGAAAGATACAATTCCTTTGAAAATAGCATATTTACAAAGAAAATATTTTAGGAAGGACAATTTATCAAGGCCCATAAATATGATTTCATGAATAAAACAAATCAGGTATCATCATGCAGATCAACGATAATACATGTTTCTCATTCACGCAAAACATTGAAATGGAAGAATTGAATCTATGTAACTATATACACAGCTCCACACACAGTGCAACCATCAATTAGCATTGTTGTTACAAACACAGTCTGTAACCAACATGTGAAATCAATTCACTAACTCTATGTGTCTTCCCTTTAATTACACTTCATGCTCTGTTTTCCCTTTCCACAAAGGACTCATGGTAAAAGAAAGAAAAAAGAAAAGCAAGCAAATTTAAAAATGTTCTGGTACAAAAATCTGCTAAACAAATATCTGTCAACATAATGCACTATTAAGTTTCAAGATGATGGATTATATGTTAGAAAGCTTACATCCTAAAATATTTACATAGCAAACATGGCATAAATCATTGCAAAACAGGGCCAATTGTAATTTTGCATATATTTTAAAGACGAGACTTCTCTGTATAGGACTAGGCATAATTATTTCCAGTCAGTCATGAAGTAAGCTTGAATCACCTCCTGTCTCAGTTGGTTCAGTTATGCTTTCTTGACACAAGACTTCTTACAGATGAACTAACGGACACCTGACTTGGAATGTGCGATCAACCACTGCAGTGTAATATCTATGTTATCCTTTTCCTTGCAAGATATTGAATAGCAGCAAATTTCACGGTCCTGAATTGCAGATAAATTCCTGTAACAGCACATCACAAGTATTGTAAAGTTACCATTTGGTGTACTACGCAGAAGTCAGTATATTCTATAGAAGAAAACAGAGACTCAAGACAGTTTGCACACAAATTCAATTATGACAAAATCTGTTTGTCCGATATCAACAACACAGGCATAAAAGAAACAGATTAGCTCTATGTCACTTTAAAAAGCAGCAGTATAGCAAACTTGTTAATTATACATAAAATAATGAAGAAATGCAATATCAGTGAAAGGAATTATGCATATTTATAAAACAAACTGTGGTAATCATCAAAGAATATAACTATTATCATCTACATATAATATTGTATTCAGCATATTTCTTTCTGGGTTAACTCCATACAAAGATAAAAATACTGGGGACTGTCTATGTGGATTTCAAAGCAATCAATCAAATATCCTGCATGTCAGATAGCAAACAAAAACTGGATTACAATGAGACAGTACATCAATCTGCTTGCTTGTACATGCCTCAGTTTTCAACTGACTGGACTTGTCCACTGCAACTAGCCTTATGCAGATATTGTGAATGTTCTAGAAAATCCTCCACCATTCTATGATTTGTGATTGTTGGGTTAACTTTGAGAAAATTCTGGAAAACACTGAAGGTCTAATGGAGCTCACAAAGACCACAGCTGAAAGACATCACTTGAAGCGACATGGCCATGAATCACAACACTCAAGGAAGTTGAATCACATGGTTGCAGTAGCAAGTGATTGTGGCAGCATAATATGAACATTTCAACGAAGAAGAAAAGTTAAAGTTTCCTGTCAAAATTTCAACAACTAGACAGCAACACAGTATGAGAACAGGTATCTCATTCTAATTATATAGGAAGTGTAATAACATATAAATTAGAAAAGGACTTTAATCATAAACTTATAAAGTATGATAATTTATGTACTACCTTAATGAGAACCTTACAGACTAAGAAACATTGCAAAAATTTTATAAAGTGGTAGCACTACCAATTTAATTAATCTTGGAAAAATAAAGTAAGAGATAAATAAAATACAATCAACAGAAAATATATATTCAAGGATAGTAGTAGACTACACCATACTGGTATTAAGAATGAAGATACCAGGAAAGAACCAGTACAAAATAAAATATATGAACAAAGGCAAAGGTGATTAACCACATGGACAGAATGACAGATGAAAGGAAACTCACAAAGATTCTGCAGTTTTAATGAAAAGGTGCAGTGACCAAGATAGACCTTAGAGAAAATGGAATAAGTATGTGAAGTCAGACCAGACTTGAGATCCTATACCACAAAATGAAGCAAAAAAGTTTACTTTTTAAGGTTTGATTTGACTTCTTTAATGATGACAAAACCAGTGCAGTTAATTTACTTTTGAATCAATTAACCGATAATTTGCACTAACTGACTCCAAGGAGCAGAGTCCTCATCATTCAAATTTGTACAGCCTCCTGTTACATCATCCCTCTACCCAGCTAGCAACCAACGCACTCACTCCAAATAGCTCCATGAAATAGAGTCCTCCTTCAGGAGCCACCAGTCAACCAGCTAATAAATTTCCTACCTTTCACAGAACCCAAAAGTTCATTACTATGTTCACATGAGTCCACCAAGTCTAAAGCCCTGTATAATATTTTTGAACACACTATAGTTTTACAGTGTGTTGTTTGCCACTCAGCAGCTGGAGGTTCAGGCCTTGCTGACGGTCCGCAATTACTTTTTTCAATATATTTATATTGCCAAATATTCTCCTCAACATCCTCTTCTCATATACCCTCAATGTCCATTCCTCCCTTGACGTAAGAGACTTAGTTTCCCACATATAAAAACTAAACAGCAAGTAAAGTTATAGTTTAATATACGAGGGTCGCTCATTAAGTAATGCCCCACATTTTTTTCCTCAGAATATATTTATTCAAGATGGCTGAAATTTAGTGACAATATAAATCAATGTTTCCTTTACACATACTATTTTTCCACATAGTCCCCATCAACTTGTACGGTTTTACGCCAGCGTGGAACAAGTGCATGCATGCCTTGCCGGTACCAGCTCTTGTCCTGTGCACG